TTTGATGTAGTCCCACTTGTTTATTTTTCTTTTGCTTCCCTTGCCTGAAGAGATACATCAGAAAAAATATTGCTATCAGAAATGTCCAAGATTTTACTGCCTATGTTTTCTTCCAGGGTTTTTATGGTTTCAAGCCTTACATTTAAGCCTTTAATCCACTTTGAGTTTATTCTTGTGTGTGGTCTAAGACGGTGGTCTAATTTTATCTTTTTTGTTATGTATTTGTCCAACTTGCCCAACGACATTTATTGAACAGGCTATCTTTACCCCATTGTATGTTCTTGCCTCCTATGTCAAATATTAATTGCCATAAAGGGGTGGGTTTATTTCTGGGGTCTCTGTTCTGCTACATTAATCTATGTTTGTTTTTATGCCAGTACCATGCTGTCCTGATTACTTTTGCCTTATAATTATAGCTTGGTATCAGGTAGCATGATTCCTCCAACTTTGTTCTTCTTTCTCAAGATTGCTGTGGCTATTTAGGGTCTCCTGTGATTCCACATAAATTTGGAATGTTTGTTCTAGTTCTGTGAAATACATCTTTGGTATCTTGACAGGAATTGCAATGAACCTATAGATTGCTTTGGATAGTATGGACATTTTAATGATGTTAATTCTTCCTATCTATAAACATAGTATATGCTCCCACTTATTTTCATCTTCAATTTCTTTACGCAATGTCTTATAATTTTCCAAGTACAGGTCTTTTACATCCTTGGTTAAATTTATTTGAAGGTATTTTTTATGCAGTTGTAAATGGGACTGTTTTCTTAGTTTCTCTTTCTGACAGATCATTAGTGGTGTATAAAAATGCAACTGATTTCTGGATATTTATTTTGTATCCTGCTACTCTACTGAATTCATTATCAGTTCTAGTTTTTTTGTGGAATCTTTTTTAAAAAGATTTTATTTATTTTTAGAGAGAGGAGAAGGGAAGGAGAAAGAGAGGGAGAGAAACATCAATGTGTGATTGCCTCACACACGCCCCCTACTGAGGACCTGGTCTGCAACCTAGGCATGTGCCCTGACTGGGAATCGAACTGGCAATCCTTGGTTCACAGGCCGTGCTCAGTCCACTGAGCCACACCAGCCAGGACTTGGTGGAATCTTTAGGGTTTGCAAATAATGACAGTTTTACTTCTCTTCCTTTCCAGTTTGGAAGCTTTTTTTTTTTTTACAATGGTTTTCTTTTCTTTTTTCTTTTTTCTTTTGTGGTTTAATCTTTATTATATATTTTTCCATTACCACTGAGTCCCCTTATACTCCCTCCCCTCAGCTACAATGCCTTTCTTAATCTAAAGAAAACCACAGCTCTTTACAACAAGGATGCTCTAAATAGATGTAATCAGTCAAAAATCTGAATATTAGTCTGTTCACTTGTTTTTTTTGTTTTCATTTTGTTTTATAAATGACCCTGGTCACGACAGAACCCAGTGAGCGGTCGAGAAAACCAAGGCGACGGGCCCAACCCGGGCAGCCTGGGACCATGTGACTGAGTCTTACTCCCTTCATCTATTTATGGCGAAGAAAAGATTTTAATTAGTACTGTGGGTTTTTACTGTAATACCAGAACCAAAGAATTTTCATACTTTTTCTTCACCACTTTGGCAAAATCTAAGAAATGTGGCTAGGGAAACCAAAGGTGGTTTGATCACAGAACCGCAGTTCAAATAATCACTCCTTCCCTTCCCAGCTCCTCCCTGGGGGTGGGGGGCATTCACCTAAGAATCACCGAGTTCCTATCAAATAAGTATTGGTCTCTTTCATCAAGGGAGGAAACTAAGGCCCACTGGTTGAAAAGTAAGTTACAAGAACTGTGGGAGACCAAAAGCTAGTTGAAAATGTAACTGCAATTCTCTTTTCTCCCTTAAAATCAAATCCAACCAGAAGTCAGGCAACTTTGCATGATAAGGACAGTGCAGGTGAGGGTTTATAGTAAGGAGGGTATCTAGATTTTCTAATGTGCTCACAGCAAACGTGGATCATTTCTGTAGTAAACAAAACTACTAATCCTAAACTTAAAAAATAAACGAATCTATCAAACCCATTCAGATTCAATAGATAAGATCATTTAGATGCAAGGATGGATGAAAGGACGTTTCACAAATACAATGTAACTAAGCATGAAAAACACAAAATCTACACCCAACCTTAAAATATCATTAGACCTTTAGTAACAGTCAACAAATTTATCGAGCACCTATTATATGTGAAGTGCCACAGACATAACTGTGAACAGGACAGATAAAACCCGTGGCCTCAGGGACTTACAGTACTGCCAATTCGTTTTTAAATAGGGTGCCCACATGTCCTACTTTGGTCAAAGTCATGGTTTTTACCCATTTTCCCCGGAGTAACTAACAATGTCCCTCCCACACATCTCCCAGTCCAGACAACAAATTAGATACAGGGTCCGGCACAAATAACGCCCCTACTTTTTATTACAAAATCATAAGCGTGCAATTCTGTAACACAACAATACCACACTCAAGCACAGCATATAACATTTTAGGTGAAATGCTCGAACTGCTGTCCACCCCATGTGAGGCACTCACGTACTCCACCCCCACACTCGGTGGCCTTCAGGCCTCACTCCGGCCGGACCCTGCAGCTGCCGTCTGTGCGAGAACCTGCTGTCCCTGCCGGGCGCATGTGTGCAGAGCACCTGTCATTGCGAGGCTTCATCTTTTTAAACCCGTTTTACTCATTTTTAACGCACATAAAATTTTCTTAAATTATAAAAAACAACTTATTTTAGACATCCATCTGATTTTGATATATATTGGTTATACCATGAAATCGAACATTTGCTTTCATCAAGAGGAAATCAAAATCTGATTCTGTCACATAAAAATGTACACAAATAAATCAAATGAATAGAAGAATAAAATCTTTAAAGATTATACGCTTGTTGAGAGCACATGATTCTTTTAAAAAACTACCACCTCAACGTTCTGGCCTCTGTCTAGCTCAGCACTGAGAACACACTGGGGTTTCCAGACGTCCCCACTAAGGGGACACAGGGCCGGAAGCGTGCGAGGCGGGTCTGGAACTGGCTGTCGCACTAGGGAGCAAGGGCACCGGCAAAGACGACCAGGGTTGAGTCAAAAAGGCCCAGGTGCCAGACTGATGAGCCCCTAATGGACAAAGATAGGGCAACTGCACATGCACAGGGTTGGCATCAGCTGTGGGCTAAAACACACCACACGTGCTTACATCCACCGGTCACCTTTCCAGGATGCTGAAAGAACCAACTCATGCTTTGGAAAACTAGTTAAGTGAAGGGCAAGAATCAAGCATTTAGTCTGTCATTCCAATTAGATCTGTACCTTATGGAAACTAAATACTTGTTGAGGGGAAGTCCTTTTTATAGAAGTATTCCATCTAATAACTGAAGAAAAAAATATAGCATCAGGCATCATTTGCAACCCCAATGAATTAACAGATACAGGCAAAGATGGCAGACACCAGTACCCAAAGGGAAGCAGTCAGCACCGCCTCCCGGTAGAACTACATGCTGCTACCTATTACGTAGTCTTGTCTAACACCCACAAGAAAGGTTAAACCTTAATCTGTCCAAGTCTGTTGGTCTGAAAATGAACTGAACTCACAGGAAGTAAAAGGAATTGAGGAACATGTTAAATGAAACTGCGTGGATGCCATCAGCCAAATCCAGACTATGGGAAACTATACAACAAACTGTCTGGATTCCTCAACAAAAACTGCACGGAGAAAAACAGAGAGAGAGGGAGAAGAAAGGAGAACTCATGGGTTTAAGACATACTAACCAACCACTCCTCTTTACACCCTAATTTGACATTCTAGCTTGTGTCTGAATGTTGGAAAAACAAACTGAAAAAACAATCTCAAGTCAACTGGGAAGTATATGCACTGGCTGAACACTGAGTGATGCCCAGGAAGTGTTTTAGTGTAATAACAGTATTGTGCTTGGTTTTTTTTAAGACGTCTTATAATAATATATGATGTCTAGAATTGCTTCAGAGCAAGTGGAGGGAAGGCAGTGGAGGGAGGTTGGCCCATATCTTAATGAGTGTTGAAGCTGGAAGATGGGTATATTAGGTTCACCATACTTTTCTCTTTATTTTTTTTTATATTTGAGAATCTCTAATGACATAAAAAGGTTTTTTTCCAAAAGTAGTATGCTTTGAAAGACCAAAAGTAATATGATTTAGAAACATATAGAACATTATAGCTTGACAATGGAGAAGTATTTTCTAACAACTACAATTAGATCCGCATTAGCCCTTTCTCTCCCACATTGTGACTACATTTAATTATCTTTATACAACTTAAATTTCCTATTTCTAAAAACTATACTGTAAGCAATATGGTATATTTCTGATTTAATAAAACTTTAATTCTGAATATGTTAACACATAGTGCTAAAAAGGTACTCAAAAATTAAACAGAAGTAAAACAAGTTGCCTAGTAAGACCATCACTCAGTCAAGATTAGGACCCAATTTTTTTAGACAGTAGCCACCACTGCGTCCCAGACAGTAACTGCCATTGAATTTTTCAAGCACAGAACAATAAAACTGAACCAAAATCGCTTTTCTCTTCACATGGAACTTGCTATGCAGATCTCATTACAGGGAAGGTTTTAGATCTATACCCTCGAAAGCACAGCCAGTGTTTTAGTAGGAGCTGGTACTAAAGCTGCTTTGCATGTGCTCTCCGGCTGCCACACTCGTACTATCCACCATGTCCTGCCACCTTCGTATGTGCAGGTCCAGCTAAGAGACTGTTATCCAAAGTATACGAGTGTCCGCAGAGAGGCTTAAGGATGAGCAGAGGATTGTTTTAGGTGGTTTTCTAAATGTGCTGCACTACTACGAGGTGGCCAGGATTCTCTGTATAGTCAGTCGGTGTTATGGTAGCGTTACCGTGAGTACAATGGTTGGAAGCATTTCACTGTAAAAGAATCAAGATGTAGGCACAGGCCATAACCACAGCTCTCACTATTAAATGAAAACCCACCTTCTGCCCTGGCCGGTGTAGCTCAGTTGGTTGGAGCATCGTCCCATAACCAAAAGGTTGCAGGTTCGATTCCCGGTCAGGGCACACACCCAGGTTGCAGGTTCGAACCCTGGTCCAGGTGCGTGAGGGAGGCAACCCGTCATGCTTCTCTCTCGCATCGATGTTTCTCTCTCTCCTTTCCTCTCTCTCTGAAAGCAATGAAAAAAATGTCCTAGAGTGAGGATTTTTTTTTAAAAACCCACCTTTTTCTTTCCCTTGTCTGCTCCCTTCAACCTGAGCCAGCAAATATTATGTGTCTTCAAAGCTAAGCTACACCTTTTAATGTTTCTGAAATAGGAACCTAATCAACAAAACAAAGCAAGCAAAATATAACCAGAGACATTGAAATGAAGAACAAACCGACAGTAACCAGAGGGGAGGGGGGAGGGGGATAACCAGGCAAGAAGGGGAAGGGTCATCAAGGAACATGTATAACAGACCCAAGGACATTATACATGTCCTTGGGGGTAAGGATTGAGGGTGGGAGGTGGGGGTTGGTGGGATGGGGCAAAGTCCTCGCAGGAAAATGGAGACAACTGTACTTGAACAACAATTAAAAACAAAACAAAAGAATGCACCCTATTCTTCCTCAGTCTTAGATGCCACTGACTTTGAGTTCTCACCCTCTGGTCCCTGTGGAAGATCCAAATGCAGCAGCCGTGGTCTCGGACTGAGGCGCTTCCAAACCCCACGTTCTTGCTTGGCTGCCCCCACCCCCTGCCTCACCCCAATATCTAATAAACCAACAAGTCCTGTTTCTAAAAATCGCCCTGTCCTCCCTGTTCCAATTGCTCACGCCTCCTAGGTCAGGCCCCATTCGCTTCACACACAGATTGTAAGAGCCCTTCTGCCTCCCTCGTTCAAAGCACTTCACACAGAGATCCTCTCAACTACGTTTTCCTAAAGAATCTGGATCGTGTAACTCCCCATCTACAAACCCTTTGTTGCTTTCTGTAGCCTTGGAATGAGGCACAACTCCTCAGCAGAGCATTAAAAAGCCCTGCCCCACCCGGGCTCCCATCCTCCCTCAGGCTGTCTCCCAAACGCACCGTGACCTTCTCCGCCACCGCACCTTTGACCACGTCATTCTCTCCTTCTACCCAGAGCACCGCCACCGCCCCCCCAAACTACAAAATGCCAGCCATCTTTCAAGACCTAGCTCAAATGCATCTCCTTGAAGCTTTCCTTAATCGCCATTTTTATTTCTTAGAATGCTTAAGAGGATTTTTTTCTTTAAAAAAATGTGGTATGCTAATGGAGGGAACACTCAAGAGTTCCATTTAAGCTGGGAGGAAAGTGATTTTTAAAAATCCATTCAATGTTGCCAATTTCTTTCTCCTCTTCCTTTTCAAGCAATGATTCAAATTAATACAGTGAGTTTGGATGCCAAGGTTTGCCTCAGAAGGGATTCTTTGCATTAGCAAACGTGGAGTAACAGACACCAAAACACTGCCCTACCTGTCACGGTATTTTGCCTCAAGACCAGTACCTTTCTTTTCTTCAAGAACCACTTAATACTTAGCTTCTCTCAGAGCAAGACATTACAGACAGAAACCATCTGGCATAGGAGACTCCTGACTATTAATGTCAATGAACAGACAGGTTAACTTCCTAGTCGACGAAAGGTGGCTACTTCCCACGTGCTCCTATGACAGTGACTTGGAACTGTACTGAAAATGGGACACTGTGCAAGAGCTGCACTCACCAATGTTGTAAATCATGCTTCTGCACGGAATACAGAAAGGGTGGGGAAAAACATTTTCCACGCTGCCCTAAAGTGGCCATGGGCAGACCTACCTGTCAATGTCAAAAGATAACTCTTGAAGATACTGATGTCCAAGGGAGCTTTGAACACAGGGATCAGATATATTACATGTGGTGCACATGTATGTATGACTGAAGTTAACCTGTGAGCAGATACTCACTTATTTAAGTCAAGTTTAAAAGCTTGATTTAAGATGACTCCAAATAGAAAGAATATTAGTTGGAATCTAGTGAAATCTGCACCAAACCTGGAGTTGATGGCAATGTACCAACGTTGGTTTCTTTGTTTATGTAACTTTAACGTGGTTATGTAAGACTTGAACAATAAAGGAAATTGCATGAGGGAGACAGATACGGGTACTCTCTTCACAAATTTTCTGTAAATCTTAAATGATTCCAAAATTTTAACTTTTTAAAAAAACTTAGAAAAAGAGAACTTACTGGGATAACACAAACAAACCAAGTTATAATCACTTTCCTTAAAAGATTTTCTTTGAATTAAAAAAAAACAGGCTACTGTACCAGTTTATTCTCAGAAATGAGATTTTTAAAAACGAATTTTGTTTGTTTAAGCTGTGATGTTTTTAAACATTCTCAGATTTACTCAGTAAAGACTATCAGTTAGCAAATGCACTGGGTTTTTTCAGCAGGATCCATATACAAACATATGTAGATATTTTTTATGACTTAAAACCCAAATTGGCTAATGCCAAGATACCTTGACTGACCTCTGACTTTAACTGAACGGCCAACCACAGAGTACATGCTGCGTGAATACGGAATAACCTTCCTTAGAGCAACTCAGCACTATCTTCCTAGCTGTGAGGTGTGGATATTTTTGGACCCAACCGCCAAAGAAGATAATGGCATTAGAAGGTCTTGTCGTAAGTATAAGAAAGATGTGTATACAAAGGCATTCATTTAGTACTATTTATTTATTTATTTACTTGGGGGTAAAATAACACTTTTCTCTTTAGAATAACAGGTATCCCCTTGTTAACTAAAACATCTTTGCTTTCATTTTTGATGAAAGCAACATTTTCACTTATATCTTACATGAAAAGGTAAACAAGCTTACAATAATTACTGTCTTTTTCTTCCAAGTCCTTAAACAGAGTACTATCTAGCACTATTATAACAAAAAACTTGAAACACAAATAATGGTGCATAGACACTGACATCTAAATTATGCGATAGCCCTGGCTGGTGTGGCTCAGTGGATTGAGCGCCGGCCTGCAAACCAAAGGGTCTCTCGTTTGATTCCCAGTCAGGGCATATGCCTGGGTTGCGGGCCAGGTCCCCAGTGTCGGGTGCGTGAGAGGCAACCACACACTGATGTTTCTCTCCCTCTCTCTTTCCTCCTTCTCTCTCTAAAAATGAACAAATAAAATCTTTTTTAAAATAAATAAATAAATTATGCCACAGATTTATATGACCTGACATAATAATATGTCCACATTTTAAAAAAGACTACAGAACATGTGAGAATGGAATCATACACTCTCATGATGTGTGACCACGCACACACGTGTGTGTGCATGTACACTCAGGTTGAGAGAAACCTCAGGCCCAGGCAAGGGAGAGGTAAAGGTGGAAGAGGAGACACTTATTTTTTTCTTTATATTTTCCTGTAATCCTTAAATAGCTTTAAATAAACATGCATATTTTTTTAGAAAATAAAGTTTTTATTTTGTAATGCTATCGAGGAGCAATTTGTCTCACACTCAATCAAATAAGAAATTAAGAACAAGTACTGGAATCTGTAATTTTTTAAAAAGTGATCTCTTATTCTTGACAAAAAATGGCAAAATATTTGCTATCAAACTTTACTATAGTAAGTTTACAGTAAAGTTTACTGAACTATAAGTTTTACTTTAAGTTTTAGTAAACTTTACTAAAGTTGTGCTATAAACTTTAACCCTCAAAAGCTAAGTTTTATTATAAAAACATCAGACATTAGCCAGACCACAGGCTGTCGGTACTGACTGCAACACCAACTACATTCTTTCAGCTTACAGATGACACCCACCATCCCAGTGTTATTATGTGTAGCTCCAAAGAACAAACTGTAGTTACAAATCAAATTATCTTCTATGGCTTCTCTATGTGATTATGTATAGTGCTAGAGTTTGTCCTTAAGCTGAGATCAGTTGATAGATTTTTTTTTTTTTTTACGCAAGAAAACACAAATCTGTCCTCTTGCCAAGGATCTTTCCATATCAATGCATTTGGGAACTGAATGAGAACTTACAATATATTCAATATTCTCTATTATATGAGAGAGAGAAAAAAAACAGGAGGCTCAGGAAAGTTAAATGGCTCTTCTAAGGTCAACAGCGAGGTCAATGGCAGAGCTGAGCCTACCACCCAGATTCTGGTCGTAAGGCTCAAAATGAATCATTCCTATTTACCTATTAGAATGGCTTAAATAAAAAATATTGACAACACCAAATGCTGTCAACTGGAACTTTCATGTTTTTGGTGGGAATGTGACAGAGCACACTCCTTCTGGAAAACAGCCTGGCAGCTTCTTATAAAGTGAAACGGACCCACCATATGGCCCAGCAGTCCCACGCCTAGGTATTCCCTCTAGAGGAAAGAAAACTTAAATTCACCCCAAACCCTGCTCATAAATGTTCACAGTGCCTCTGTTCATAATTACCAAAATCTGGAAATACTCCAAATGTCCTTCCACTGGTGAATGGATAGCAATTTGTGGTACAGCCACACAATGGAATATTACTTGGCAATAAAAAGGAACAAGCTTCCGATACACACAAAAACTTCGATGAATCTCAAAGGGATTGTGATGAGTGAAACAGGTGAGTCTCAAAAGATTACATACTGCATGATGCCATTTATAGAACAGTCTCCAAAAGACAAAACTACAGCAATGGACAAGGGCTGCCACTTATAGGTAAGATCATATGGTCTGAGTTGGAGGGTGGGGCGAGTGGGAATGCAAAGGAACTGCGGGAGGGGTGCTTTCGGAGGATGGAACCACTCTGCATCCTGGCTGTGGTGGCAGGGACATGAATCTGCACATGTACTGACATTTACAGAAGTGCGTGCACACAGAAATGTCAAGTTCACTGTACATTAATTTAAAAATGAAAACAAGTAACCAACTCAGTCTCTGGTTCCTAAAAGCCAGAAATAATTATGAACTTTAAACTGTCTTTTTAAAAGATTTTATTTATTTATCTTTTAAAGAGAGGGGAAGGGAGGGAGGGAGGGAGAGAAACATCGATGTGAGAGGGAAACATCAGTCAGGCGCCTCTCACGCGCGCCCCAACCAGGGACCCAACCTGCACCCCGGGCATGTGCCCTGACTGGAATCGAACTGGTGAACTCTCGCCTTGTGGGGCAGCACCCAACCAACTGC